GTACCTTGATTTCAGTAAGGATTTTGACAAAGTCCACCATGATATTCTTGTGAGGATGCTGGTAAAATGTGGGTTGAAAGAGGTAACGGTTAGGTGAATTTGTAGCTGATCAAACCCAAAGAGGACTCATTAATGGTTCCTTGTCATCCTGGAAAAAAAGTGACAAGTGGGGTGCCACAGGGTTCTGTCCTGGGCCTGTTGTTGTTCAACATCTTTATAAATGACTTGGATGAAGGAATTGATCAACTTTGCAGATGACACCAATCTGGGAGTGGTGGCTAATGCTGCAGAAGACAGAATCAGAATTCAAAATGACCTTAACAGATTAGAGAACTGGGCTCAGGCTAACAAAATGTATTTCAGTAGGGACAAATGTAAGGTTCTGCACTTAGGCAGGAAGAACCAGATGCATAAAAACTTAAAAACTTATCCGTTCCGGAGGTCTGTTCTTAACCTGAAACTGTTCTTAACCTGAGGTACCACTTTAGCTAATGGGGCCTCCCGCTACCGCCACTGCGCAATTTCTGTTCTCATCCTGAAGCAAAGTTCTTAACCCGAGGTACTATTTTTGGGTTAGCAGAGTCTGTAACCTGAAGCGTCTGTAACCTGAAGCATCTGTAACCCGAGATACCACTGTATAAGATGAGGAACACCTGGCTTACTAGCAGTATATGTGAAAGAGATCTAGGGGTCTTAGTGGACCACAAAGCTTAACCTGAGTGAACAGTGTTATGCAGCAGCAAAAAATAGCTAATGCTATTCTAGGCTGCATCAACAGAAGTCTAGTGTTAAGATCCCACTCTTCTGCCGTGGTCAGACCACACCTGGAATACTGCGTCCTCTTCTGGGCACCACAATATAAGGATATTGACAGAGGGCAACCAAGATGATCATTGGTCTAGAAAGCAAGACTTTTGAGGAACGGTAGAAGGAGTTGGGTATGTTTAGCCTGGAAAAGAGGAGACTGGGAGGAGATATGACAGCCGTCTTCAAATACCTCAAGGGCTATCAAGATGGAGCAAATTTGTTTGCTCCTGCTCTGGCGGGCAGGACTCGAACCAATAGCTTCAAGTTACAAGAAAAAAGATTCCGACTAAACATCAGGAAAAACCTTCTGACAGTAGGAGTTGTTCAACAGTGGAACAGTCTCCCTCAGGAGGTTGTGAACTCTCTTTGCTTGGAGGTTTTTAAGCAGAGGTTGGAGGGCCATCTGTCATGGATGCTTTAACAGAGATTCTTGCATTGCAGGGGGCTGGACTAAATGACTCTTGGGGTCCCTTCCAACTCTGTAATCCTATGATTCTATTATATTTTAAGGTGTTCAAAGGACAGAGGCAGGTCCATTTCCTCTATTTTGTCCATTTTAATACCACCTGACATTGTGCAAAGCTTATTTTGTTCGTTAGGACCTGAGAGCTTGCAAAGCTTATCTTTCGGGTTTTACAGTGCCATCCTTCACAGAAGAAATCCACCTGGGCTTACTCCCAGGTGAAGTTGTAAGGGACTGCAGCCTTAATCACCGGTGCCTTATAATGCAATCCTAACCATGGTTACTCAGAAGAAAGAACAGGGAACCAACCCTTTCTCAAACCACTTTCAACTTTCTTTCAATAACAAACTATGGTCTATCTTCATCCACGGATAAAAACATCTAGGGTCTCACTTTATCCATCGATGGCAAGACAGACTTCACTTCCAGATACTTTGACTGCTCATATGGGCCCTGGTTCCCTCTGTATGAAAGCATGCATCCTATGTGGTGTCTTTGTTTTGTGCCCAGAGGATTGAAAAGGATCCCAGGGGCTGCATAAGCCAGCAGCTCAGCTGAGGAGAGGAACAATTGCAGGAGGGATAGTTACCACATCCCTTTGAAATGCAGGGAAGTGAAAGAGCGGGGTGGGGGTGGGGCAGCCTCAGTGCTGACAGGTAAATAATGCTTCCCTGGCTTTTGTCTGGCCTTGCTTTCAGTTGGGCAACATCTGACCTTGCAGCTTAGCCTCAAGGGTGGAGGTGCTCACAAACAAGACTAGGAGACTCAACAATAAGGCTGCACAGCTGCTCCCTGGCTCTCAGGATAAGCCTACTGTTCAGGGTGGTGAAATCTGGGGCCGAAGTAAAGTGTGCCAACAACATCAGCTCTATCAGTGCATCAAATCTGAGGCCAGCTCAAGATATTCTGGTCCCCGAGTTGTAAGATCCAAAAGGTCACTCCACCATCCCCAATTAGGATGGGACAGTCCACTTGGAATATCTCTCTCACAAAGCCTTGCCGAAATACATGAGACCAGCAATGATCTACCCCCTCCAACAGCATATGAATCCATATGGCTAATGTGACCCAACAGCCCAGCTGGCCTCCCTCACACAGAGCTACTCCACAATCTACTAAACATGACTAACCAAGCTCAGAAACCCCTAACCTCTTGCAATACCAATAAAGAAAAAATAAAAACACAAAGGACCTACCCATGTGATGCTGACACAGCCCCTCCCAAACACACTAAGAATGGGCAATAGAAGGAAAGAACCATCTTTCTCTCCACCTCTCCTTTCCCTCAACTGCAAGATGGCTATGACAAAAATGTCTCTCACCAAATGTAAATGAACTGTGAAAAACTATGAATTGAAAGTGGAGACATTCCCTGTTTATCTGTTTGCTTTGTAACACAAAACCCCCCAATAAAAACTAGTTTAGAAAAAAAAATCCATGAGACCAGGACTACTGAGCTTTTGCAGGGCTCACACTCACATTGCCAGGGTTTGTTCAGGAGAAGTTGCTGGCTGGCTGCACCCCCATAGTGTCAGCTCTGTCTGTCACTCACCCTGCCACACTGAATGGAGAGAAAAAACAGACACCCCCCATTGCTTTTGGAAACCCCTAAGGGCCAGCATGGCCAGCCCTGGCCCACCCCACTGGAGTATGCAGGCAGCTTTCCCACAACAACTTGGAATTGTTTGCTGCTGCTGCTGCTGCTGACCTGGAGGCATTGGTTGCTCAAGTACCCCACGCTATTAACCAAACCAAGCACTTCCCCATATTGGGCCAAGCAGCTGTGCTAAAGTGCACTTGTGGGGTTTGTGCTCAGATATGGCAATAGGAGAAAGAGGCACACGCTCTTCCAAGAATGCTGAGGTTACACCCCAACTCCATTTTACACTTACTATATAAAGACAATCATGTACCCCACAATTTCTCTCTGGTATTGAAGCACAACTTTTTAAAACAATACACAGCAGACACCTATCAGTCCAGTCGCAAGTTCCATCAAGATCCTTCAGCCCTCCCCATTCCTCCTCATGATTCACAAGAAACAAATTGTTCCTTGTTCCCCTGAGAAGACCATTGAGAAGTTGAGAAAAAGGATTTCTGGGATCCATCTCCAGGGCTTCATGACTGGAAGAGTTAGGAGCACAGGTAGGAACCCAGGACTCCTAGCCAAGAAGCAGTTTGATTCAAACGCTGCCTCCCAATCCGGAAGGCTAGAAACCTTCTCCTTGCCCCAAAGAAATGCTGAAATTGTTAGAATTCCAGCCAACTGGGAAGAAGCCAGCTCTGGTTATGTGTGATCACAATGCCTCCCTCCTTTATGGGCTGGACAAACCCAGCCCATTCTTTAAACACTGCCTCCTGCTCTTAAACAAGTTCAGACTCCTTCTCCAAATGCAGCATTTTTCAAATACAGTAATCTCAAATTTCCATGCCCTTCCTGCAACTCCCTGCCCCCCATTAGAAAGATGCAACTCCAAGTAAAGAGAAAATGGTGCACATGGACACACTGACAACCACCGTCCCTCCTCAAACGGAGTCATTTGGTGTAATTCAGGAGCACCTTTCCACCAAGTCAGGCAGGAGAAGCCCACCCATGGGGCAAGGTGAGGAGACTGCCTCAGGCGAGAGGATTCACGGGGCAGTAGATCCCAATGTAGATCTTTACCTCCTCCCTGTCCCTTTGTTCCTGATGTACAGTGAGGGGGGAAAGTATTTGATCCCCTGCTAAATTTGCCCGTTTGCCCTCTGACGAAGAAATGACCGGTCCATAATTTTAATTGTAGGTTTATTGTAGCTGTGAGAGACAGAATAACAACAGGAAAACCCCCAGAAACCCAGAAGACAAAAGTCAGAGATTGATGTGCATTATAATGAGTGAAATAAGTATTTGATCCCTTTGCAAAAGATGACTTAGTACATGGTGGCAAAACCCTTGTTGGCAATTACAGAGGTTGACCGTTCCTTGTAGGTGGCCACCAGGTTTGCACACATCTCAGGAGGTATTTTGTTTCACACACTGAGATGTGTGAAGTTGTTAAACTGCCACAGGGGCCAGATTAAACCGACCAGTGGGCCGGATTAGGTCCCCAAAACGGACTTTGGACATGCCTGCTCTAGGCTTTCTAGAACACTTGCAAACCGCTCTCTGGCTGCAGATCTGGTGAGGGTTCACCACAAGGTGCAGCTCCCTACATGGAGCTGTTTTAAGCAGCCTGCACATCCGAGGCAAGCGATAATAGTCAAGGAAAACAATTCCCTGGACTTTTGCCAGATCTGTCACTGTGGTTAATTAACAGCGGTTAATTAATAGTTAAGTCAAGGGTGATTTGAAGTTTGCTTCGCCCAAATTTGTCAATTACTTTTCTGCTGGAGAAACAGAGAAGTTTGAGCGATGTCACTCTAAGCTGTTTTTGTTTGTGCAAAAAGAACAACAGTTCTTTGGACGGTGAAAGACCATTTGTTGGAAAGGAGGATTTCTGAAGTTTTGCTTCATGTTATCAAGATTACTCAGTTACCACTGAATATGCCGATCCTGATATCGAACAACATCTGTGCCGCTGCCATTTGGTAGCACATTATTTTTGCAAGACAGGTAATTTTCACCAGTGACTGCTCTGAAGAAAAAATACAACCATATGAGGCGACTTATTGGCAAAATGCAAACTCTGGCAGCCCACGGACACTTTCCCAAAAGGATATTATTGTGAACAAAACTATGGCAAATACTCACACTTAGTTCTATCTAACACAGCTTTAGCTCGTGAAGCGATAATAGGGTTGTTCTTAGATTCTCATGGAAGAAACAACCCGTGAATAACTTCTGTTGCGTTTCTATTCCCGCCTTCCCTGCAAAGAGCTCAAGGTGGGGCACGGAAGCCTGTCTTCCCACCAACTCCACGTTAATAGGACTGAGGAGAGAAGGTTTGCTTGGATGCCTCAAGGGATGGCGACTGCGCAGGCAGGCTCGCAGGGAGCCGGGGGCGGCCGAAGTCCGCGTCCCAGTGGGTCCCCTCCCCCGAAGTGGCCCTGCCTGGTCGAGGCTCCCGGGAGCCGCCCGCCTTTGTTGCTTCCGCAACCCCTTCTCCCCGACCGAGGGCAAGAGCCGGTCCGCCCAGGCTCCGCTCCGCAGTCCTTCCCCGCCGCCGCCTTGCCTCCCGCTTCCCGCGCGGCCCCGAAGACGAAAGGCAGCGCTTACCTGCGCGCCCCGAGCCCGCCGCTCTCCGCCCTCCGCCGCCGCGCTCTAGTGGTGGGCGCCGCGCTCCCGCCGCGGCTGCTTCCTGGAGCGGCGCCCGGGAGGCATCGCGGAGCAGCGCCGGCCTGGCCGCTCTCGCGCGCGGAACAAAGCCGGAGCAAGAGGGAAGCGCCGCCTCGGCCCGCCAAGCGCCGACTGCGCCCCGGCCGGCGGGCGCGCCTCTCTCCGCCTCGGGCGGCCTCCTTGGGCCCGCCTTCCTCGCCTCGCCCGAGGCCCTCGGAGCCACCCAGCCCGGCAAGCGGGCGCCTCAGAGAGGATTGCAGGGGGCGGCATCTCTGTGGCCCCCAGGAGGAAGACGCCACTCGGGCCCCTGGCCGGCCACTTGCGGCCACGGCAGGTTTCGGCATCCCGGGGGGGAGGAATGGGGGGGGGTCGCGGGAGAAGGGGAGAGGGCAGAAGAGTGACCCAGAGATTTCCCCCCTGCCCCAGTCTAGAGGGGCACAGGTTCCCAAGGGCGCACCTGAATGTGATACTCCAATAGCACCCCCGCTTAGGCGGGGCTGAGCTGCATCCCTCGCTATCAGGCCAGTTGCAGTGAGGGCACAGGGTCCTGCAGCCGGACGGGGTCCACAGCCACCGCCTCAGGCAGCAGATGTTGGGCGCAACTGAAGACCATGCATTTAAAGCACATGGCTACGCCCCAAAATCCTAGATCTCATTTGCTCCTCATGGAGCTACAAGTCCCAACACATTTCACAAACTGTCATGCCCAGGATTTGGGGAGAAGTCATATGATTTAATTCATGGTATATACATAGCAGGATGTGTGGGGTGTATGGGGTGTACCTCTGGTGGGGGACGTGTCATGTTCCTTCCGGGGTTGTTTGTCCACCTTTCGTCCCCACCCTGCACTCCGCTCTCACCTGTGGCTCCTCTCACCTGTTGGCTGTTGTGAACAGAGTGCAAAGCTTGGAGACAAGTTGGGTTTACTGTTAGGAGAGTCAGTCAGTCATGTTGGGATATTGTGGTTCTTGCCTGGCCTGATGAAGCTATTGATTATGCAGGAGTATGGTTGCAGTCCTATGGCGGAAGCCCCACTGAACGCCATGAAAGGCCATAAGGCAGAATAGAGGAGCCTGTAGCCCTCCAGCTGTCGAAGGACTCCATCCCACCAGTCCACCCTGCCAGCCCTAGCCCAGTGGTCTGGGATGCTGGAAGGGCAGCAACAACATCTGGAGGGTGTTGGGTTCCCCATCCCTGCCCTAAGGCCTGCAACTCATGTTTACTTCCAGTTGGTTTTAAAAGAATGTGCAACCCAGTCCTGGGTCTGTTTACCTAAAAGGACTTTCCACTGTGCTCAATGGAGCTCACATCCCAGTTTGTGTGCATAAGCAAATTGACTCGAAAGTCAGTGAAACCCGAGAAGTCAGTGGGCAGCCTTAGGATCTTTGACTTACCTCCGGATTAGAGGGGCTTTAGAGCAGTGGGTGTCTTGCCAACCAGGACAATCCAGTCCAGGGGTCAGCAAGGTTTACCTCGCCTGGGCTGGTTCACTCCAGCAGAGATCCCTCCATGGGTTGGATCGCACATGGGCGCATGCGCCTGCCATTTCCAGCATCTGCGTCTGTGCAGATGTGATTTCTAGTGACACGGAAGCAAGTCCCCACACCACACCACGCCAATTTAGTGCAGCGCGTGGGGACTCGCCGAGCGCGTGGCTCGGTTTGGGGGCAGCTCATGGGATGGTTAAACCCCCGTGGCCCATGGGCCTTGGGTTGCCGACCCCTGATCCAGTCTATCTGGGCGGTCACACACACAAACATGCAATTTAAAAAAACATCACTGTCCATGCATCCTCTGATCCTACAGTTTAGCATTGATTGTTTTGGCCTAAGCAGAGTAGTTAGGGAAAGGGAACTCAGACTCTTGGATTCAGTCTTTCATTCGAAGGAGATGGGGGGGGGAGGAAATGTTAATGTGTTTGGACGTGTACACATGTTAGATCTCACTCTGATTGTAGGTTGGTTTTGGGGGGAATAGGGGTGATAGATTCACTGCAAAGACACACCTGTACTTGTGTATAAAATGTTTGCAGATATGTGTATTACTCTGAAAGTTGATTGATTTGACGTGACCCCCGCTAATTGATTTGCGATCCTCAATTAGCTATTTATGGCCGCCCGGCACACTTCCGCTCGGAGCTCTCAGTCACGCCTCAGCAGAGTTGAAACACAGCGGTGGAAAACTGTCACGTAGCTTGGCTTAGCTTCCAGACAAACACACACAGTACAGGTTTGTCTATTTACAGTTGTTTATTCCGACATTCCCCAGGATTCTCCTGGACTCACCGCAGCCATGACAGACTACGACCTCTCCCCTCAGAGACCGAGAGGAACAGAACGAAACTCCTCCCAGCTTCGAAAGCTGACGTCAGAATGCTGAGGCATCATGGGAACAACTTAACCAGTTAAGTTCCAAACCTCACACCCCCTCTTGCCGAACCATTCTGACAAGACCTTTTTGAGTTCAACACCTTCCCCTTTGCCTTGTGCCCCTTCCCGGCATCTTTCCCAGGCACCTGTTGAACCCCTTCAACACTCCCAGAATCACATTGTGCGACACTTATCCACGCACTTGTGACCTGATACCCTACTGACCCACTTGGGCCAGCAGTTGTGTCTCCTCCATCAGACTTTTCCCCCTCTGACTTGACAACCCGTCCGTGAGCTTTCCCCATTACGCTTACCGGAGATGAAGCCTCACACCTGGACACTCCTTTCACAACCCTTGGAGATGCCCAAACCTGCCCTGACCCCTGACCCTGGACCTGGTCCCCATCACCGGGTTCTGAACCCTGATCCTGGACCTGGTCCCCATCACCGGGATCAGCCTCTGCCTCCCTCTCCTCCCCTTGAGGAGACTTTGCACCCGTCACCTGGTGATGTATTCCCTTTTCCTTGAAAAATTCCTCCAGAGCAGACCCAGTAAACTGTGACCCTCGGTCGCTCTTGAACCCTTGCACCCTGGTGGAGAACCTTCGTTCCACCTCCGCAACCCAATCCTGGATCAGTTGCGCCGCCTCCCCCTGTGATTTGAGAGAGAAACACCAGCCAACCTGGCTGTGGTCATCTGTCAGCGACAGCACATACCTGGCCCCACCCAGACTCTCACACCTCATGGGTCCTGACAGATCTGTGTGAACAAGCTCAAAGGGCTCTTTGGCTACCCTCCCAAACCCGGGAAAACCAAGTACCTTTGCACCTTTGCATGCCCTGCACCCTTGGGACCTCCTCCCACATTGTGTGATTTTACACCCTTTTGTGCACCTGTGCAACTTTTGCACATGACTGGGAACCTTAGCACACTGCACCTGTGCTTTTCCAGCATTCCCACCGCCCTCCAGAGGTGACTGTTCTTGCTTTTCACGTTGACAAGTTGTCTCCCTCCTCTGAAAATGGAACAGGTGTCATTTTCAAAGCAAATATTGTATCCCTGCTTCATTAGAGCTGATACAGATAATAGACAACAATTCAGTCCCGGCACAACGTAGACCTCTAGCTCCTCCTGTAAAGGAGAAAAAAACATGTTAGCCACAGCACAGACTGATTTTCTCGTTCCGTCTGCGAACACAACAGTCATTCCAGTTGAAACAGCCCTGCAGTTCCGCATTTCGCCAGCAGGTTCGCTTATCAGGTGCTGACCAATAGTAGTATCCAACACCCAGCGTGTCACCGTGTCCTGGCTGGAGTTGTTCTTCACAGTTGCCATAGAAGCAGTGATAAGAAAACAACCCTCCCCAGTGTCTGAGCCACGTCCTTCCCTTGCGTTCCCACGCTGGCCTCCTCTTCGAGACTGATTCCCATGGGAACCCAGCTGGTTGACCTTGGCAAACTCGTCAATATCCTGCCTTGCCTCTCTGCTCCGGTGGGGGCAATCTCGACGTACGTGGTCAGCTGACTTGCAAATGTAGCAACAACGAACTTCAGTGGAAAAACACTGCCCGGGGCTCCTCCCAGCTGGCCTCCTTCTCCTTCTTCCGGAAAAGCACTCCTTGCCAGCTCCGCCCCCTTTGAACCGCCATCTCATTCCAGCAGGCTTCTTAAACTTGCCTTTGGAATTCTTCGCCCCCCGACCTGCTCACCAGCGCTCCTTGAGGCTAAAACATCAGGAACAGGGGCTACAGCCATCTCTAGGCTTTTGTATTCCTTCTCCAGGGCTCTGGCCTCCTGCTGAAGCTTCACAGCAAACGCAGCAGTACATCCCCAGACAGCCCTTGCTGACTTCACATCCTTGCCCAACTTCTTAGAGTGAGCCGTTCAAACGCAATGTCCTCCAAGACCTGGCTGCCTGCCATTGTCTTCCGTTCTCCCAAGGGGCCCCAAGCTGTACTCACAAATCACCAGCTCCTCTGGCTCCTGTCCGTGGAGAAACGATTTCCTGCTGCTCTCAGCTCTCAGCAACACAGGCAACCACTTTGCGTCTTTCAGCCAGCTGCTCTCTTAGCTCCGCAGCTCTCTTTGCCTCTTAACACCAGGCAAAAACCACTCCGCCTCCTGCCGCAGCTCCTTTGCTTTAAACCGCAAACTTCAAACGCATTCCGGCAGCACCAGTGACAGTTTTACGAGCGGTAATTAAGTACCCATAACCTCTGAAAGTTGATTGATTTGACGTGACCCCCGCTAATTGATTTGCGATCCTCAATTAGCTATTTATGGCCGCCCGGCACACTTCCGCTCGGAGCTCTCAGTCACGCCTCAGCAGAGTTGAAACACAGCGGTGGAAAACTG